TTGTATACAATAGAACATATATGCTATATTTATACAAGGAAGATATTATAGGAATAAAAAGCAAGTTGTTTAGCAGGAGAGAATGAAAAATTATTCCTATTCACGAGATAGTAAACCATACAGCCTGTTTCTGTAAGCGTCAAATTTGCCATAATAGGCATGAAACCTTTGAAATCTAAAAGCTTTCTGTCACAGAAGATTTCATTAAACTATTCCTAGTGCTAGAATTAGATTTTGACCTCCAGAGTCTACCCTCTGTTTACCCAGCCCTGATAACTACCCTACAAAACAAATCTTAATCCTGTCTTTTCTACCAATTCTGCTAATACCTTTAGCATACTAAATCAAGATTTTAAGTCATTCATGCTCACACTCTTGCTCTACTAGATGTCCATCTGTCTGAACATATCTCTACCAACCAAGTCTTGCCTGTATCACACTCAACCTTAATCTCAGCCTGCCCACGTTGCTGCTAAAACTATCTGCTGCTAAACTACTATCAGTTTACAGATAGTAGTGGTAATGGGGCAGATTCCCAATGATCTATTGTGAGTTACTACTGTACTTAATTAGTAGAATCAGTTCCCCAAACTTAGATGATTAGCAACCAGTCCAACTATATTTTTTCAAACCAAAGCAAAGCAGCTAAAACAAAATACCCCTAATTGTGAAACACACTATGGTTCTGATGAAAATAAATTCAGTAATGAAAAATTCTTAAAAAAAAAAATTCTTCAATCATCAATCCTCAATTGATGATTGAAGAAGGTAGGACTTTCAGGTTTTCTCCTTCCTTCTCAAACAAATGCAGTTATGTGAGCTATAAAATTGCACTTAGGGGATAGAAAGATGTTATAAAAATGTTCAAAGATCAGTAAATAAATAAACACAGCAAAGGATATAGGCTATAACCATTAGACAAAATAAAAACTTAATCCTTATTATCAGATGGATCAGGCTGGATGAAACCTAACAACCTTTAGAAATACCAAAATAGATTATGAATTTTAGCTGATGGGAGGAGCGTTCAGAGAAAAAAAAAATCATTAGAATACTATACTAGAGCTGGGACATTCACAAAACAGAAAAAATAGTATTGCAGTTTCTCTCCTCCAAAAATGGTAGCCCTCTTCATAATAAGCCTTTTCCTTTAATTCTCATTCTTATTTCAAGTTTTGCTTCAACCAAAGGCAAAAGGAGTTTTTCACTCTAAAACCAAGAGGCAGAAGGGCATTAAAGTAAGATGCTTTGAAGTCAGTTACTCATAAATCTGGCTGCCATCAGAATTATCTGACTCCGTATCAGACCAGTTAAATCAGAATAGGGGATGGTGGGGTCTAGGAATGGTTATTTTTTAAAAAGCCCCCTGGGTGATTCTACTCTACAGTCAGATTTAAAAAGCATCATTCTAAATTTAAAGGCCCCTCAATCAGAAATATTAAGCAATTCCTATTTTTTATTCTGTACTATGGGAATCAAAAGAGAAAAAAAGTAACATTTCAGTTGCCAAACTGCAACTGAAATAAATTATATTACATTTTCTATCTGAAAACATTAATTTCTAATTATAAAACCAATAACCCTAACTATGCAACTAATTTATTTAAAAATGATAACGTAAGCTGTTCTTTTCTTCATACCTATAAAGAAACTACTGTAATCTTGTCACAAGATTCTACTATCAACACCAATCGAGATTCTTTTATTAATTCAACAAACATTTGTTAAGCTCATGGTATATAACTGGACACTGTGTTAAGTGCAAGAAAGAGTGGGCAATAAGACAGGAACATATTGGTGAAATATTCATGGAAATATCATGGCAAATAAGCAACCAAAACTACAAGTAGAATATCTGTTAAAAGGTAGGTGTAAAAGTATCAAGTGCTACAGAGACTTATAAACCTAGAGGATTAAACTATTCTGGGGAGTGGAAGGGTACAAAAGGGGAACAGAAGGAATTGGCAAAATCAGGGAACACCTTTCTCAAGAAAGGATACCTAAAGTGAGATCTAACCCAAGAGCAAACAGTTAATTAGGTGAGGGCAAGGGTGGTAGTGTTGGTGGCCACAGCAGGGGAAAATAGCAAATGCAAAAGTCCTGGGGAGGGGGGTGTATGGCAGGAACCAAAACATTCCAGGAACTGAGAGAAAATGAACATGGCTAGGGCAAACACAGAAGGGAGCAAGGGAAAGAGTAGCTCATAATGAGGTTACAAAGGCAGACAAATGCCAGATCTCACACAACCTTGCAAATAAGGTTAAGGGTTTGAACTTCATCCTGCAAACAATGGGAAATCACAGCAAAGTTTTAAACAGAGGAGTGACAATCTTTTTGCAAACTGATCTGAACACAGCTAAATTTTGGCTAGTACTGTCCTGAAAGAATGCCTTGACTGGTATTTCAGAAAACAAGGAACTGATACTCTTATACAGGTGATCGGATCATCAAACTGTCATAGACTGATCACATCAATCATTAAGAGAATGCATTAAAAATTTCTCTACTTCAATTCCATTTTTACTAAAACAAGATTTGGATTGTAATTTAGGTTTCCATGAAATGCTTCCTGGGTGGAAGAGCACTATTAATTGGCTGGTCACCATAACTATGTAAGACCATTTGACACTTTATATTATCTCATGGGAAATTAGAAAATTAACATTGTTTTATTAGTTTATCAGGAGTAACTATATGCCCTGTTTAATGGTTATTTATAGTTTTGTCTGCCAGAAAGCACCCTCCATCTAAAGCATCCTCCATCTTCTGTGGGAATGCTCCTATGGTTGTTGGTAGGGCTATCCATGATAAACTTCACCACCCCCCACCCCCCCGCCAACCTTGGCCACAGAAGTGAGTATATGACCCAGACTGGGCTCCTCATTGTATTCACAACTTTATGGCAATAGGGTCTGATCCAAAAGATGGGCACATGACCTAAGTTAAGTTAAGCCAATCCTCTAGATTTTAAATACTGAAGCTTAGAGAGATATTATTCCTCAATGTAATAAGCTCTGTAGGGATGTGACCTTGAAGCAGCTGGCAGTCAAACTCCTTATCTGTGGAGAAGCCAGAGTAAAAGCAGAAACCCTGAAAGTATAGACAAACACTGATGAGGCAGAGGCAGTTCTCATAAATTGAGACTGTCTAGTCAAGTCCCTGAGACCAGCTGCATCCCTACCTTTCTGGATTTAATTCTTCTCTTTTTGCTTAAGCTAGTCTGGGTTGGTTTTTTGTCAGTTGCAACCAAATGAAAACAAACATACAATGCTATAAAAAAAACAATAAATTGGCTTTCAGTAAATAATACTTGTGTCGTTATCTACTAGGCTTTAAGCATTACATCTGTCCTTGCACAGGAAAGACAGCTATGTTCCCAGTAAGATTTTATAATTTTTATAGGAATAAGACACATACACAATAAAAGATTAAATGCAAGTCTGGAAATATTTTAAACTAGAATTTTAAAGATCAGAGCAGGAAAGAAATTGAGGTATATTAAAAACAATGAATTAGGGGGATGCCTGGGTGGCTCAGAGGCTGAGCCTCTGCCTTCAGCTCAGGGCAGCGTGATCCTGGGGTTCTAGGATCGAGTCCCACATCCCGCTCCCTAGTGGGAGCCTGCTTCTCCCTCTGCCTGTGTCTCTGCCTTCTCTATGTGTCTCTCATGAATGAATAAATAAAATCTTTAAAAAAAAAAAAAAACAAACCCACAATGAATTAGGAATCAAGAGACCAAGGTCCTCAACTGTGTCTTACACTACTGTTACCTTGGCATATCACTTATTCTCAATAAGCTACAATTTCTTCACCTGAAAAAAGAGAATGTTCTATATTATTCCTTAAGGTTGCTTCCAGACTGAAATCACTAAATCACTTTAAGGACAAAAAGCATATTCCTCATTCACATTATTCCATATTAAACAAAGAAAAGTGTAAATTTATTTTTTAAACTAACCTAAATTCAATTTTTTTCCTATTTGTCTACTCTTAAAATATGAAATTCTCAAAAAATACTATCACAAGCAAAGGATCCCTCCAAATAAAAAATGAGAACCCCAAAAGAAGATACTCAAAAGAATATTTGGTATAAACTGAATGGTTTCTTAAAAATATAGCTTTCCAATTATTTTTAAGATATTTAGAACTAGAAATTTAATTTTTCTCTATCCTACTAGAGGATAATTGAGTATCCTTGTCTTTTGTTTTTTCCGAGTATCCCTGAATTTAGTCTTTAGAAATATTTTAGTAGTGTGCAACACCTAAAGTGTTTTAAACTAGCAATAGATGGGGAAAAAAACTCAATACAAACGTTAGACAAGGAAGAAGATGGAGTAAACAAAATCTCGAGTTAGAAATCAAGAGAAAGTAAAGGTTATAAAGAATTTCATTCTATCAACTCCCTTCCAAAGGGCAAGTTTCATGATTTAGTTTTTAGATTCAAATGTGCTAGCTTCATGACATTTTATTCTGTGGGTCACAGTTTTGCCTCAAAAAAAAAAAAAAAACAACCAAAAAAAAAAAAAAACCAAACTACCTTGGAAAACTTTTTGAAGGCACACTTCGAAAGTTGAGGCCCCAGATCTACTTCACGTGTGGGGGCCATGTGTCCCACAAGCAAATCGATGACACCAAATCTCTCTCAAATTGAGATTTAAAACATTACCTTCGTATTTCCTTAGCAATAAAAGGGGAACCTTACTCAAAGTAAGTCCTCGAAGCCGGGCCTGGGGTTGGGGCGGGGGGATACCTACTTTTCTCCTCCCCTTTTTTTTAAGTAGATGAGACCCGGCAGCCCCTCCGCCAGGGGGGAAAAGATACTCAGTGAATGAGGGTCCAGGTACACCGTCCCGGAGCTCCACCCGAGGTCCCAAGACGGCCTCAAGAGGCAACAGGGCTCCGGTGGAGCTGGAGACTTCGACGTTTGGGGCCTGGGGTCGCCCCGCGGTCAAGGAGCCACACAGTGAGGCCTGTGCGTGGCAGTCACGGGACAAACTCACCTCGGCGTCTTCTTTGCATTGAGGGAGTGAAGGAAACTCCAGCTTCACGTCCTCCATGGTCCCGGCCCTGGGGCTTGTGGGTGGGGTGGGAGTGGGAGTTATCCGGCCCGCCCGACCCTCGGGCTGCCAGCGGCAGAGAAAGGAAGGAGGGCGGGTGGACCGGAGGGCTGACGGGCGGGCAGCGGGCTTACAACTAACACGCGCAGACTAAAAGGTCCCAGCGACTCCGGCGGCGACGGCGGCGACAGCGGGGAAGAGGAGGGTTGGGCGGCTCATACCCGGCCGCCATGCTGCTGCCGTCTCCCTCCCCGAGTCTCCGCGCCCCTCAGGCCGCACGGGCTCGGGCACAAGCAAGAGCCCTACAACCGTCTCCCCTGCTTCCCTCCGCCCTCCCCGCGCTGCCCCAGCCAATCCCAGCCCACGCTTGCCTTTGGCCCGCCCCCCGCGGCCGCCAGGTGTCAGCGCGCCGCCGCCCCGCCCCTTCGCCAGAGCGCAGACGCGGAGGGGGCGGGGCCTCGGAGAAGCAACGGCCGAAGCTCACCGGGTGTGGAGGAGGTGGGGCCGCGGCAGGAGGGAGGGAACGACTGAAGGTCCTGGGAAAGGCGGTGGGACAAGCCAGACCAGCTCTGCCCTTTCCAGACAGGACGCAATTCCTTTTTGTATAAGAACGGGCAAAACATCATAGCCACTAGAAACTGGCATCTGAAAGGAAAACTGTAGTTTCTACCCTCAGAATTCTGCGCAATCTGTGGTAAGGTTATAACCAAAAGAGTAATAAATGAGGAGTTCATCTTAAAACTAGGTTATGCTACACAGAAAATGAACCCATCACTTTTAAGCAAACTGAAACGGACTTTTAAGAATACTTGGGAATATGACAACTAGAAAATCTCAAGAAACAATGGAAATAAAAATCCTAAGAAATAGAAACAACTTATGGGTTCACTCAGTAAATTACACATCATACTGAAGGAAGCTCTCTTTCATTCTAAGTTTATGTTGAAATATTAATATAATTATGTTAATAAACTATAGGGCTTTCAGTATCTTTTAAAGTTTGAGTCTGTTAATATATTGTAAATAGAAATAAGGTATAGGATACTTTCTCTGGGCTTAAGAAGATACTATTATCCTTTTTATTTTTAAACGGATGAGGAAAATTAAACTTAGAAGAAGAATCCACACTTAAACTTTCAAGATTTGTAAACCAAACTGATTCTTTAAAAAACAAAACACCACCACCTAAGTAGAAAGATAAGAAGTCAAACTAAATTGCAAATTACAATGAATAAAGTTAAAAGAATCACATGGATGTTTGACCTGGACCCCCTTGACAAACATCCTATTATTTTTATATTGTCACATTTATGAAACACACTGCCAAAATGTAGAAATAGAACTGGTCAATAACTTGAGTATTAAATGGCTAGCTTGAGTACTCCATTTTTCTACCACTATTTAAACTGTTCTCTACCTTTTAAAGTTATAATAAGACCCACAATACTCCACAAGTAAGTTTAAAGAGTGACTGTGTAACTACCCACATCAAATATGGTACATTCTTTAGTGTTTATGAAACTGAAGTCAAATTGGCTTTTTTGAAACAGCACCTTTAACAAAATCTCAATTGAAGTCAAATGATGACTTCCTATTTTAATTTGTTAAAGCTTTAATTCCACATGATATAGAAAGAATTGTGTGTAGGTAACAGAACTTTTGCTTTGAACATTTCTGACATCAACATCCCCTACATCAGACACTCTTAGCTTGGTATCCATAGATACCTACAGAGTCAATGGGTGAGCTTGAGAAATAATAAATCTCCTTTCACTTTAGTATATGCATAATTGTGTGTATGAATGTGTGACTTTTTTTGGGAAGAGGCTCCAGACCTTAACATTATAAAAAGGGAACAACCATCTCACATAAATCAAGAAAACCAAGTCACATTTGTTAGCAAATATTACTTTTAATCATAATCTAAAAAAAAAAAAAAGTTATGGATAAGCATGTACTTGTTCAATTCACTATCACACAGCCTAATCATAATAGGTGAAGAGTAAAGACCTTTCATTATCGATTTAGACACACATGTCTATGCTTTATGTAACAAGATGCTCTTAGGAACACTGAGTGTGGGTACAGTTTTAAAATTCAAAAGCCTGTGATCTGAATGCAACTCATTTTGGTTATTAAATAGTTTATGTACTAAAGAAACTAAAGAACCATAATAAATGTACTTTTAAAAAAGACAAAAATATGTGTAGGAGAACTGAATCAAACATTTTATTCAACTTTTTAGGATGAGGAAAACAAATGATATAAAATAAGTCATAAGAAATGCTCTCTTGTACTATTTCAAACTACTTTCAATGTTTTACAAAATGCTCACACAGCAAATACGAAAAGCTTCAACATACTCTTAAAACTTTTGCTGCAATAAATGCAACATTAACAAACATACAAATTTCTTTATCAATCTTAAAAGTAGAATTACTGAATTACTAATTTTTAATGTTATTCATACTTATTTTTATTAGTAAGTTTTTAATGAGATCATTACCAATACATACATTATTTTCCTTAACTTTAGTTTTACATTAAGCCAGTATCTGTCATGCAACCATCAAAAACCTCCCAGTAAATTACACAGGTTTGTAGTCCAATTTAGACTCTAGCTTCTTAGAATCAGCCACTTTTCTGACTGCTTTCATGAAGTCTTCCTGTACTACAAAATCATGATCAGCACGAATTGCAAACATACCTGTGAAGAATAAAACAACATCACTGCTGTATATAGTATGTGAATAATTTGTTTATTTGAAGAAAACTAAGGGGGGGGGGGTAGGCAAAATGGGTGAAGGTAGTCAAAAGGCACAAATTTCCAATTATAAAATAAGTCCTGGGGATGAAATATACAGCATGATGACTAGACTTAATAATACTGTATTGTATATTTGAAAATTGTTGAGAGTAGATCTTAAAAGTCCTCAACACAAGAGAAAAATATCGCTAACTACATGTGGTGATGGATGTTAACTAGATTAGTGGTCACTTCATAACAAAAACAAGTATCAAATAATTATGCTGTTCACCTGAAATCAACATAATCTTATTAGTCAATTAGATCTCAAAAAAAACGTTTTTTAGGAAAACTAAGTAATTCTATGGAGTAAATGTGAAGAAGCCTAAATGTACTACTTCTGAGCCAGTAGTTGCTGGTTTTTAAAAATTTTTATTTATTTATTTATTTATTTATTTACTTATTTATATTTGAGAGAGAGAATGAGAGCATGAGTGAGGTGAGGGGCAGAGGGAGAATCAGACTCCCTGCAGAGCAGCAAGCCCATTGTGGGGCTTGATTCCTGTGGGGCTCAATCCCAGGACTCCAGGACCTAAGCCAAAGACAAATGCTAAACTGACTGAGCCAGCCAGGCACCCCTGAGCCAGTAGTTCTAATTTGTTAAAAACAAGCATCATTGTTCACTTAATTTCTTAACTATAATAAGCATTATTTTCCAAACCAAAAGCTAAACCACAATGAGGCAACTATCTGGATATTTAAAATCTAGCTCGCTCAGTCCCTGTATCCAATGACATTCTGAAAAAAGCAAAACAAAAACTCAACTATCAACAAAACATATTTTAAGTAGTAGTTTCTTAACCCTAAGACAACAACTGCCTGGAAGGAGGGAACACATATATGGTTTAGGAACACAAAACACCTCCAGTAATTCTGATAGCCTTTCCTTGTTAATATTCAAAAGCTTAGATAATAGGAATAAAAGAAAGCCAACACTAGGCTTTTTATCAAAAAGCCAGTGCTAGGGATGCCTAGGTGGCTCAGTGGTTGAGCTTTAGCCTTCAGCTCAGGTTGTGATCATGGAGACCCCAAGATCAAGTCCCAAATCAGGCTGCCTGCATGGAGCCTGCTTCTCCCTCTGCCTATGTCTCTGCTCGCTCTGTATCTTTCACAAATAAATAAGAAAATCTTAAAAAAAAAAAAAAAAGCCAGTGCCATTATTCACATATTAAAATTTATGTTAATTATGTACAAATTGGGATTTTATGCAACTTTCATAGTCAAGCATCACAAACTTGAAAACTTTCAAGTTATCAACAAGTTACTTGACAAAACAATAACTTACGCATGTGCATGTTTTTAAACATTACATATATCATGGATATGGGGTCCAAGATTTTGAGACAATCCTAATTTCATTATAAGCTAAAACTAGTAAGTTATCAGTATCTGCTAATTAAATGAATCCTACTGATATTTTCGTTTGAAGATCTGCTTATATTAACTTTTCATGTACATGCATGCAATCAATGGAATAGAAGATTTCAAGGGTTACTTTTATCTTTCAAGATTTCTATATAGTCTTAGAAATAGTCACTCTATGTTATACTGAAAAATCAGATGAATGGAAATTTCTAGTTTTTTAATAATGAAGTTTTAAAACCTTGTTTTGAAAGCTACAACTAAAGTAGGTTATTTTTCCAAACTCTGTACATACAACTATTTCCAAATCATTGTTTAGTGGATGACTGAATCTGAGATACATTCTAATCCAAAAAGGATAATCATCTCAGGATTTGAATGGGAAAGATAACTATAACTGAATCAAGTTTATTTTAAATTACAGGAAGATGTTAGCAAAAAAGCTTGAAGTCTAATAAAAAGAAAACCAGAGAATTTCAGTGTCTCCAAATATGAGTGTCCCAGGCCATTTAAAAAGCTAAAATTGTGGGCAGCCCAGGTGGCACAGTGGTTTAGTGCTGCCTTTGACCTAGGGTGTGATCTTGGAGACCAGGGATCGAGTCCCATGTCGGGCTCCCTGCATGGAGCCTGCTTCTCCCTCTGCCTGTGTCTGTGCCTCTCTCTCTCTCTCTCTCTCTGTCTCTAAAATTGTAATCCACACAGACGTTACAGCTCTTTACTGGAAATGGCTAACAATAATTTTTTTTAAAGTAAGCTCTAGGGATCCCTGGGTGGCGCAGCGGTTTGGCGCCTGCCTTTGGCCCAGGGCGCGATCCTGGAGACCCGGGATCGAATCCCACGTCGGGCTCCCGGTGCATGGAGCCTGCTTCTCCCTCTGCCTGTGTCTTTGCCCCTCTTTCTCTCTCTCTGTGACTCTCATAAAAAAAAAAATAAAAAAAAAAAATAAAGTAAGCTCTACATCCAATGTGAGGCTTGAGCTCATGACCCAGAGATCAAGAGTTGTATGCTCTACTGACACAGCCAGCCAGGTACCCCAGCTAAAAATAATTTTCAAAAAATATGTGAGGTACAAACTTCTATTTATAAGATAAATATATACCAGGGATTTACAATATGATGACCATAGCTAATACTGCTATATGATATATAGGAAAGAGAGTAAATCCGAAGAGTTATTATCACAAGGAGAAACTATTTTTCCTTTTTTCTAATTGTATCTACATGAGAAGATAAATACTAGCCAAACTACTGTGATCATTTACACAATATATGTAAATCTAACCATCATACAGTAGCTACAGACTTATATGGTGATATGTATCAATTATTTCTCAAAAAAACTGAAAAATGTAAAAAAAAAAGTATCATAATTTGATGTTATCAACCTTTAGGATTATGACATTGCTTTTTTATTTTACCACAACAATATATATTTTTTTAAGATTTTATTTATTCATGAGAGAGAGAGAGAGAGAGAGTGAGGCAGAGACACATGCAGGGAGCCCGACACGGGACTCAATCCCGGGTCTCCAGGATCAGGCCCTGGGCTGCAGGCGGCACGAAACCGCTGAGCCACCCGGGCTGCCCCCACAACAATATTCTAATAGTAATTTGGTCCAGTGAAGATTTTGGAAAGAGAATGTTGTAAATTACTCCAAGTAGTTCAAGCCATATGCAAGTTTACCACTTAACATTTTTCGTATATTTGCCTTTGTGAGCATGATTTACTCTGATCTGTACTGAGTTTCTAGACCTGCAAATTTTTAATCCAGATATTGAGTCACAATAGATCCATGAAGATAATCCTATGAAGAAGTCATGTCTGAGCAACCCATGAAGACAATCCTATGAAGAAGTCATGTCTCAGCAACCTCTTTTAATACTGTTTAATTTACCAGAAATGTTAAAACAAAGCTACCGGTGATACGAAAACAAGAGGAAATCACATATTATAATACTTTAAAACTACTCACCTGCAACCTATGAAAGTCAGTAACTATAAAAACAGCAAAAAATAATTTAAATTTTTTTTTATTATTATAGTAAACTCAACCTTGAGATCAGGACCTGAGTTGAGATCAAGAATCAGACATTTATCTAAGTGACCCAGGCCCCCCTCATTTTTTTAATTTTAAGATTGTGTGGGGCATCCCCGGTGGCGCAGTGGTTTAGCGCCGCCTGTGGTCCGGGTGTGATCCTGGAGACCTGGGATCGAGTCCCACGTCAGGCTTCCTGTATGGAGCCTGCTTTTCCCTCTGCCTGTGTCTCTGCCTCTCTCTCTCTCTCTCTCTCTCTGTGTCTATGAATAAATAAAGTCTTTAAAAAAAAAAAAGATTGTGTGGAGGACAAAGACTAAATGACTCTAGCTATGGTTTTAAAGCTACTTGGTACCAGAAATAAAATAAAAAATAGGATTACACAATGCACAAAGAAAATTATATTAAAAGTGATTACATTTTACACAAGTTGCATGATCACAAAATTCATAAATCAATCTTGCAGGGTACCTGGGTGGCTCAGTTAAGTATCTGCCTTCAGCTCAGCTCCTACTCCTGGAATAGAGTCCCACATTAGGATCTCTGCTCAGTAGGGAGTCTAATTCTCCCTCTCCCTCTGCCCCTCCTCCTGCTTGTTCTCTCTCACAGACCCTCTCTCTCAAATAAATAAAATAAATAAATAAATAAAAATTGGGAGGGACGTCTTGGTGGCTTAGCGGCTGAGTGTCTGCCTTTGGCTCAGGGTGTGAACCCAGAGTCCTGGGATCAAGAACCACATCGGGCTTTCTGCATGGAGCCTGCTTCTCCTCCCTCTTCCTATGTCTCTGCCTCTCTCAGTCTCTCATGAATAAATAAATAAAATATTTTTTAAAAATTTTAAAAATTAATTAAAAAACATTTAAATCCATCTTGCAACACTCATTGTTAACAGACTAGAATCAGAAAAGATGTTTTCCATTTTGCAGCAGATTACTTCTGTTACTGGCCCAGTATGATTTCAGCCACAAATGTGGCAGATTTACTTCAGGGGGCGAGTATGCTATCACATGAATGTCTTTCCACATTCTGCCCTAAGGCATCCAGAAGTAAAAAGGAGTTAACATCTCCAAGGGCAAATTCTCATGGGGGATGAGAGCTGGGAAATAAATGCTCCAGTCTCCATATCAGCCAGGTAATCCTAGGAGGCATTCTGTATGTTTCTCTGAGGTCTCATCAAATCGAATCCCACGTCTATAGCATCTGCCTTAATGGTACACCCTTATAATAGCTTTGCTTCTTTCCAACTCACTTGCCTGTTCTCTCCTGCTTCTTAGAATCAATTCCCCAAAAAACCAAGCACCCAAAACTTTGCAAAGGCCAGGCTCTGCTTTTGGATAAACCCAAACATGTTTTTAGCAAATTAAACAAAATCAATAGTAAAAACTCATACCTGCTTCAGTACAAACATTTCTCAGGTCTGCTCCATTAAAGCCATCTGAAAGCTTCACAATTGCTTCATAATCTGTTTAGGAAAAAATACTGGAAATTAGGTTTTTTTTTTTTTTTTTGGAAATTAGTTTTAAAAAAATTTAGACTTTTTCTAACTTATGCCTATATGGAAAATTTAACTGCAGAGCTTGCTTTGAATATTAGGCATCATCTCTATTAACATTCCTCCACATTATTTAGCAAGTCCTCCACAATATTAACGACCAAAACTTATACTTCTGTTAAGTAAGCCAGCACTAAGTAGAAATACATATACTACTTAAACTCTAAAATCAAGAAATATCAAGATCTGAAAGCATCTTAACCTGTTTCTATGAAGCAAAACAGTTACATACATGTGAACTTGAGATATCTGTGAAACCATGTCTCTTATAAAAACTGTAACCAAATATTTAATTTAAATGGTCATCAGAAATCATTTTCATCATTTTTTTATCATATATTTTTAAACAACCATTTTTAAATGGCTACCTTTTCTGGTTCCAATGCAAGCTCCAGGTGATCTATGATAACAGTAATGGTTAAGTGACCTTTTTATCCACATCAGACTTGAAATGAGGAGCTGTTGGCTTGGAATAGCAGTTATGGACTTGATAGAGTAAGGATAAAAATAAGACACAGCATGGGCTACTACAGTGTAATTTTTTAAAAAAATTTATACATTAAAGACACACACACACACACACACACACACACAGAGGCAGAGACATAGGCAGAGAGCGAAGCAGGCTCCATGCAGGGAGCCTGATGTGGGACTCGATCCTGGGACTTCAGGATCATGCTCTGGGCCGAAGGCAGGCGCTCAACCGCTGAGCCATCTAGGTATCCCTACAGGGTAATTCTGATGAGATATACCCTTTGTCAGGCCACAGAGAATATGTCAATCTCTATTTGAAATCAGACAGATACTCATTAATTCTGATTCAGGTTCAAGTTCATGTAAGCTTCCCGAGAGCAGGGATTCCCACAGTTAGCACAGCATTTGGCACCTAGCAAGAGCACAGTATTAAAGAAACCTATAAATTGGCATCCCTAGTTTAGCTCAGTCTTTCCAGCTCAAAACTATTTTCACATAAACAATGAGAAAGTTAGTAGCAGGCAATAATCAACTATTTGTAATTTTTTTTTGGACCATTAACATTTAAGGGTTTGTAAAGCTGCCTGGCAATTATACTACAATAGTATAACAACCCCTCATCCAGGAGTCAGCAAATTTTCTGTAATGGGCCAGACAGTAAATATCTTAGGCTTTGTAGGCCATGTGGTCTCTGTCAAAACTATTCATTTCTGCTGTTGTAGTGGGAAACCAGTCACAGGCAATACATAAACAAATTGGAGTGGCCACGTTACAATAAAACTTTATTTACAAAAAGAGAAGGCAGATAGAATTTGACCCACAGCAATGGTTTGCTAACTATCTTAGAGTCCACTCTCTCACTTCTGAAGATAACTATTTTATAACTTCTCCCATCTTCAAATGTCTAACAGTACTTTCCCATCTCTCACTCTGAACTTGCTTCCTATTTCACTGAGAAAATAAACACATTCGGGAATGCCTGGGCGGCTCAGCAGTTGAGCATTTGCCTTTGGCTCAGGGCGTGATCCTGGAGTCCCAGGATAGAGTCCCACATCGGGCTTCCTGCATGGAGCCTGCTTCTCCTTCTCCCTCTGCCTGTGTCTCTGCCTGTCTCTCATGAATAAATAAATAAAATCTTTAAAAAAAATTAGTTGTAAAGGTGAGTTTTTGGTTATGTAAGATAAAATTTGGCTTGAATTTTGGGACTTTGGTATAATGGGCCAAACTCTCTTCAAGGAAAGTGCATTATCAAATTTCACTCTCTCATCCAGATCATTAGCATTAAAAAAGTGTTGTAAATTCTTTCATCTTAAAGAAAGCTCTTCCAAATCTTCATCTCCACCTCCACTGCAGCTACATTTCTTTTCTTCTCCCTTTGCTGCAGAACTCCTTGAAAGAAATGTCTGAACTCCATGCCTCTGCCACAATCTCCTGAAATCCATTTGAGGTAGGCTCTTTCAGCACTCCGAAAAATTGTTTTGATAAGGTCACCAATAACCTCCACATAGTAAATCTAAAGGTTCATTCTCAGATGTCTATCTGACACAGCATTTAACAGGGAATTACTCCCTCCTTGTAACAATTTCTTCATTTATCTTTTTTTTTTTTTTAAGATTTTATTTTTTTATTCATGAGAGACACAGAGAGAGAGAGAGGGGCAGAGACACAGGCAGAGGGAGAAGCAGGCTCCATGCAGGGAGCCCGACGTGGGACTCAATCCGGGTCTCCAGGATGGGGCCCTGGGCTGAAGGCGGCGCTAAACCGCTGAGCCACCCATGCTGCCCAATTTCTTCATTTATCTTCCAGGACATACGAGCTCCTGGTTTAATTCCCCTATGTGACTATAGCTTCTTAGTCTCCTTTGATGGTTCTTTCTCTCAACTTCTTAATATTGGAATTAGCTCAGTTTTTGAACCTCTTCTCTATCCATATTTACCTCTTCAGAAATCTCATCTAATCTCAAGACTTTAAAAATAATCTTATGCTATTATCCACAGTTATATCACCAGCATTAGACCACTGCAATAAACCATAGATGCATATAGAATTATCAATTAACATCTTCATTTAGTTTATCTAATTGGCATCTCAGCTTTAATATATTCAGAACCAAACTCCTTACTCTCCCTTTAAAACCTAATCTTTCCAGTCTTCTCCCATTTTAAATGATGACAACTCCATTTTTCCAGTTGCATGAGTCAAAAACCTAAGTCTTCCCTGGTTCTTCTCTTTAGCTCACACTCCACATCTGATTCATTAGCAAGCCCTGCAATCTCTATTTCCAAAATATGTCCAGAATCTCATCATTTTAAGATTCTCTTACCACCTTGGATCACACTACCATCTTTTATCTGATTATTGGAATATCCTCCTAACTTATCCTCTTGTTTCTATCCTTGTTCCTCTACATGCAACTAGAATGATCTTATTTAACATAAATCAATTTCAAAATATTTACGGATGAAATTATACAATGCCTGGGATTTGTTTCCTAAAAATCCAGAAGGAAGGTAAGTGGAAGAGATTACAGATGAAGCAAGATTGGCCAAAAATTAATAATTATTAAAGCTAGGTGGGGGATGGGTAACCTAAGTAAGGTTAGAAGTTCATTATACTCTTATCTCCACTTGTATTTCTAATTTTCTACACTACAAAGTTAAAAATAACAAAAGGTAAGATCATTTCATCCCTCTGTTCACAATCCTCCAAGGAAAATAAAATAAAATAAAATAAATAAAATAAAATAAAATAAAATAAAATAAAATAAAATAAAATAAAATAAAAAAATAAAATAAAATAAAATAAAATAAAATAAAAATAAAAATAAATAAAATAAAATAAAAGCCAGAGTTCTTACACAATGATCTAAATAAGGCTCCACACAATCTGATTCCCATCACTTCTATGATTTCATTTGCTACCATTGTCCTGCTTACTCTGCCACAGACACCTTGGCATCTTTGCTACTCCTGAAATGTTCCAACCATATATACACCTGCTTCAAGGTCTTTCTCTTGCTGTTCCCTTTGCATCATTTTCCCCAAATATCTATACCTACTTCCTTCACCTTTACAGGTCATTGCTTAAAAATCACCATATCACCTTCTTGGTAAGGCTTCCCTCTGCTTCCCCCACCTCACCTCCATTTAAAGATGTATATATTCATTCTGGCTCCTCGCATTACCTATCTCCCTTGCTTTATTTTTCTCCATAGCACATATCATAATCTAATGTACTATAAATTTTCTGACTTTGTCTGTCTTGCCTGACAAGAATGTAAGTTCTGTAAGGCAGGAATTTGTCTGTTTTGTTCATTGCTATGTTTCCAGCACTTAGAACAGTTCCTAACAAAAAATGTTCAATAAATATTAGTTGAATTTAAGATCTCCATGTTTGCCGAATTTAAAACCAGATTTGGTAGACTATCAGCAATATCTAATAGCATTTTGCTTCATTTACCAAATGTAAATATACATAAAATAAGTTATTTCCTTACCTATTTCACCATGCTTTGTAATGGGACCTGCATGGATTTTCAATATATCTAATCTTGCTTGTTCGTTTGGCAAATCAATATCTGAAAATGAAAAATCATAAGAAATTCTTTTGCAGTCAGGTTTTTTGTTTTTTAAATAAAGTAGGGGGTGAGTAGAGATATGGAAAGAAAATGGACATAGACAAAGAGAATACACAGCAGATAAAGAACTTTAACTCACGTATTTTTCTATCTAATCTTCCTGGACGAAGCAAAGCAGGATCCAGTGTATCTGGTCTGTTTGTAGCCATGATCATTTTAACTCTATGTAGAGTATCAAACCCATCCATTTGATTCAGTAACTAATATATTTGTAAATAAAAATCATTGATATTTACAAAACATTTCAATCATTAAAAAATATAAAGTACACAATTCTATATGCTAATATTATAAAATACATTGTCTACAAATACTGTGCAAACTTCAATGGACTTTTTTTTCTTATATAAAGGGATAGATCCCAGCCTTGAAGTTCTAAGATAATTTAACTATGTACCTTCTTATTGCTACCAAAAAGTTTTAATAAATCTGAAGGCTTCCATTTAGTCAAGTATTATAAAATGAAACTATGTGGATCTGATTTCCAACATTCAAATTTTTTTGTATTTTCAAAAACATTATTAAAAAAGTCTAATATATACAGTATTATGGTATGTCAGACATAAAATTTACATTCCACAAATTTGATGACATTTCCACATATTTGATAATTAATCTATTAAATATCTTTTCAAATAATTGCACTATACAAAGAAATACCAAAACATTAAACATATTTCCTTCAATTCCAAGTGTTCTTGAATAAATATTGAAAAATCTAACAGCATTCAACAAATCTTTTAAAATATAGCTAGCTTAACAATGTGTATTTCTTTTCCAAAATATCTGATAGCTAGTTAACATATTATGATAACATAATATGTTACGTGAATAAGACTAGTATCTATGTTCTTTCAAAACACCTCAATTTAAGGTTTCCAGGAGGTATAGCTAATTTGAAAATACTATATATATATATTCTGAACAGATTGTAATTTATGAAAAATCCCTTTCAAATACCCCTACTAAGATACAATTTGACATTGTGTTACCTATACTACTTAGCTTCACTCTGTAGAAGGCTCCTCAAGGGGAGCCTGATCTTGGACTCAGGATCATGCCCTGAGTCAAAGGCAGATGCCTAACCGCTGAACTGTTCAGGTGCCCCGAATATACAATTTAAATATCTGAATGGCTGGTCTGCTCAAAACACATGGAGTAGTAGAGCTGTACATCATATAGAATTTTGTAATATTCCTATTACTTTCCAGGAGACATTTTCTTACTAGAGATTGTGGTAGTGAAATGTGTTTATTCCTGACATTTTCAAATTTTATATTTAGGTGTATTTTTTTTAAGATTTATTCATTTATTTCGGACAGAGCCTGTGAGCACGGGGAGGGGCGGAGGGAAAGAATCTCAAGCCAACTCCCCACTGAGTGTGGAGTCCAACTCAGAGGATTGATCCCATAATCCTGAGATCATGAACAGAGTGGAAATCAAGAGTTGGATGCTCAACTGACTGAGCAACCCAGTGCCCCTTAAGTGTGTTCTTCATTTAAACCATTGCACAGGGGCACCTGAGTGGCTCAGGTCATAATCCCAGGGATCTAGCCCTGCATTGGGATCCCTGCTCAGCAAGGAGTCTGCTTCTCCCTCTCCATCATCCTGATGTTCTCCCTGCTTATGTTCTCTCTCAAATAAATAAAAGCTTAAAAAAGCCCAACAAACCATCGTACACATTTTGACTTTCAAATATCCAATGTTTTCATTTAATACACACTGACTTCTTTTTAAACCTCCTTTACCAAATATTACCTCCATTAAAGTTCTCTGAATCTCTCTATCAGCTGAAGTACCCTCAGAAAACCGACGACCACCTAAAATAATGATATGGAAAAAATGATATGGAAACTCTTCCCTCTACAACCATCATTTAAGAAGACAAAATAATAGTGTCAGCAGTTAAAAACATTAAGATAAAAAATGAATAGTAAGACATATACTGACAAACTTAGAATTGATTTTGTTATGACATTACTCAATTTTGTCAATATCAAACTAAAATTGGTTAAGCTTTCTTAAGAATTTTTTCAAAGTAACGTTCAAAAAAAAGAAAAATAAAGTAACATCCATTTTGTTACTTCCACACAGACTGCTATTAGAAGGGGAGAAGAACTCCTTCAGAATTTTAAAAATTTCCTAAGACTTTTTTAAAAAGTTCAAAATAAATTTTAAAAGGTGTTATTCTTACCAATAGCATCTATTTCATCCATAAAAATAATGCATGGTTGGTGATCCCTGGCATAATTAAACATTTCTCTGATCAAACGAGCACTTTCACCAATGTACTTGTCTACAATAGAACTAGATACAACCTGATTAAAGGAAAAACATTTAGGTAAACATAAGACAATTCAAATAAAATTTAATTTCAACAGTTACAAAAAGAACCTTCCCTTTACCTTTAAGAAATTGCAGTCTAGCTGGCTAGCAACAGCTCGAGCCAAGAGTGTTTTTCCTGTACCTAAAATAACAAAAGAAGTCCTAAGTAGATGGAAACTAAACAAACTCTCAAAAGCCTTTTACTTCTCTGGATAGTAAATTTTGCAAATGAAAGCTAAATCGTAAAGAGAATTTCCATTTAAAATTTGAAAACCCGGGGATCCCTGGGTGGCGCAGCGGTTTGGCGCCTGCCTTTGGCCCAGGGCGCGATCCTGGAGACCCGGGATCGAATCCCACGTCGGGCTCCCGGTGCATGGAGCCTGCTTCTCCCTCTGCCTGTGTCTCTGCCTCTCTCTCTCTCTCTCTCTCTCTCATAAATAAATAAAAAAAATTTAAAAAAAAAAAATAAAAATAAAATTTGAAAACCCTTCTACTTACAATATTAAAATCTTAAATTTTATTCAAAATATCCCTTTTAGAGACACGTAGGTGGCTCAGTGGTTGAGTGTCTGCCTTTGGCTCAGGGCTCTGCCTTCAGCTCAGAGCATGATCCCAGAGTTCTGGGATCGAGTCCCGCATCGGGTTCCCCGCAGGGAACCTGCTTCTCTCCCTGCCCAAGTCTCTGCCTCTCTCTGTTTTCTCATGAAAAAATAAAATCTTAAAAAAAAAAATCCCTTCTAATACTGAATACTTACTTCAAAAATATATCAACCCCTATTTACAGACCCTACAAGAGAAGCCTGTTACACAATAATCCATTGGTCTATCCTGCATAATGAATATGTCTTTTACCTATGCATGATATTGTAACAACAACTATTGGTTATTTGGAAGCTACTGGTTCATGAGTCATGAAAATCTTCGAGCTGGCATTTTTCATTATACAATATGTAAAGGTCACATTTATTAATATCACCAATCTCATCTCCTTTTTTAAGTATTAACATCAGAAAATCCCAGATGGGGGTGCCTGGGTGGCTCAGTTGGTTAAGTGTCCATCAAGTGTCCTCTTGATTTCAGCTCAGGTCATGATCCCAGGGTCATGAACTGGAGGTGTCAGGTTCCATGCTGAAGCATGGAGCCTGTTTAAAATTCTCTCCCTCTCCATCTGCCTGCCCTTCCAACTCCTCCCCACGTGTGTTTTTTTTCTTAAAAAAGGAAAAACAACAAAAAAAAACCCCTGTCAGATATAAGTTTTGAAAACCTAATTTTCACTTGAAAGCTTAAATTCTACCATTGGCTACAGATGGTGTCAGTTATTTTAACATAGTAGGCTAACTTCATTTTTTTTAAAGATTTACTTATTTATTTTAGAGAAAGAGTGTGTGTGATTGCATGAGTAGGAGGGACAGAGGGAGAGAGAACTCAAGCCGACTCAACACTGAGAATGGAGCCTGACGTGGGACTTTCAAACCCAGGACTCCGAGATCACAACCGAAGCCAAAATGAAGAGTTAGATACCTAACTAACAAAGCCACTCAGGTGCCCCTCATTCATTTTTGAAAAATTTGCCAGATAAGCAATATCCGAATAATCAAAAACCAGTCTGACAACGACAGAATGTCCATAAATTATGTTTTCAAGTAAAAATGATATTCCATGAAAAGCAGCTAATTCAGCTGGCAACTCAAATAACATACCAGTGCTTTTCCCAGTGATAACTATACTATTCAGTATGTAACAGAAGCACTTACATATATTTTCCATTTCAATACATAGAATTTAAGACATTATTCAAAGATCAGGATTTCATAAAAACAATTTTTAATGCTTCATCAAGGACACCTAAAAGTTAAACTCATATATATTTTTTTAATATTGCAAATATGAGCAGTCAATAACACAATGACTACTTGTGCCATTTCATGCCACTGACCTGACTAATGCTATGGCAGGAACAGTTTTACCCATGCTGCTTTTGCACCATCAGCATAGAAGTCAACACAGTGAAAATGGCAACTAACATCTTAGTATTTCAAATTAAGGTTTAACCTTGCAGATTCCCTGAAAACATTTCAGGGACAGCCAGAGGTTGGTGAACCACACAGGACCAACACTAGAATCATACAACATCTTAATATGAACATTCTATAAGGCATAAGAGGACTAAGCATACCTGAGAGAATAGTAGACACACATGTCCTATTCTTCCCTTACTTTGAATAAAGTGGAGGCTGGAAGACCCTACATTAAATTTTCACTTTTTTATTCCTTAATTTATTCACTTTTCACTTTTTTTATTCCTTAATTTATTCACTTTTCACCTTTTTTATTCCTTAATTTATTCATTTATTAGTAGGTCAGATATAATTCAACACTAACCTGGTGGTCCATATAACAAACAGCCTTTTGGAGGTATTATTCCTACACGCTGGAATAATTCTGGGTTTGTAAGAGGTAATTCTATCACCTAGAAAAGAAGTTGAATGTTTCTTAAAAAGTCAGTAAATATTCTGATAAACTTAAAAATACTTTAAGTAAAGTATCAGCATAGTTAGGTATATATGCACAGATGTAATTCACGTAAAGCCATTTATATTAGAGGTCATTCTTTAGGTAGATTTAATAAATTTTCTTTAATTATGTAAAAATTAATTTAAGTCTGTAATTATTTTAACATACTATACACTTCACAAGTGATTGCTACACAGGCATATGATTTGTCAAAACACATTTGAATTGTACACTTAAGGAACGCTTGGGTGGCTCAGCGGTTGAGCATCTGCCTTTTGACTTAGGGCATGATCCCGGTCCCAGGATCAAGTCCCACATCCGGCTATTTGCAGGAAGCCTGCTTCTCCCTCTGCCTGTCTCTCTGCCTCTCTCTGTGTCTCTCATGAATAAATAAATAAAATTTTTAAAAAGTGAACTGTACAATTAAAATCTATGCACTTTACTGAATGTAAATTATGTCTCAATGAAAAAAAATCACACTACAAAAAAATCAGGTAAGCAAAAAAGAAAAACAAAACAAAAAAATTCTTAATTATTTTGCATTTGGGACTGTAACACAAAATAATAAAATGGGAAAATTTAGTAAAGTTAAAATCGCCATTAGGAGAAAAGGCTTAAAAAAATAAAAATAATTAAAATAATTAAAAAAGGAGAAAAGGCATATAAAATCTTCTTATGTTGGCATTTTGTCATAGTAGACTTAGAAGAACCATACATTCAGAGTACCTGACTGGCTCAGTTGGGAAAGCAGATGACTCTTAATCTTGGGGTTGTGAGTTTGAGCCCCACGATGGGTGTAGAGATTATGAAAAAAAAAAAAAAAAAAAACTAAAAAAAAAAAAAAAGAACCATATACTCACTCTTAATGTCCTACTAAGATTGATTCGAGAATAGAAAAATTGAGGGTTTGACTGCCCACATTAAACTCTTTATAGACAAGTAACTTGAGAAATAAGCTTCTATTGAATACTTGTATCCACCAGGTGTGATTAAATAAACAAAAAGTATAAGAAGTCAATATTCTTAGTGTCTCCAGATGGAAAAGGTTATTACATGTACATATGTTTTGTGGAGTGTGTGTGTGTGTGTGTGTGTGTGTGTGAAAGAGAGAGAGAGAGAGAGAGAGAAACTTTCTGCTTCTATGGCTGATGCAGCAAATCACCGTAAAAGACAAGATTTCAGTTCCATGAAGCATTTGTTGTTCCTCTGTTGCCCTTTCTTTAACTACAAAGTAAGAATAGACTTTTATTTGTAATTACACGAGTGCTTCCTCAAGAATGACCAAAAACCATTTGGTTTCATAATCACCTGGAATGTTTGTTTCAATGCTAATTCCTATGTCCCATTCCCCAATCTCCTTCATGGAAATCATGCAGAGGGCCTATGAATCTCTATTTTTAATAGGAGTTCCAGAAAACTTAATATGCTATGTGAACTGTATGAGAACTACTGGCTACGGCTTAAATCAGATGAGGTAAGCCATACCAACTATCCTCATTCATTCCTAAACATTTCCATCCTAAATTAGGATGAAATAAATAGGGCGATATAATTTGCTTCAAAGAGAATTGTTAAGAAGCCATCTGTGTTACGAGGTGAAGAAATCTTGATTTGACTCTTCACCTAAGTGTTTAAAAGGTTTAAGCCCCCCTAAAGCCAATAGTTTTCTTGAATGGCAGCAAACAGCTTTATCAAAATAAAATATTTAAGGTACAGGGGCGCCTGGCTAGCTCAGTCGGTGAAGCATGCAACTCTTTCTTGGTCTCGGGGTTCTGAATTCAAGCCCCACTGGATGTGGAGATTACTCAAAAAAATTTAAAAATCTTAAAAAAAAAAATTAAAGGTACAGATAACTTACTTTCATAGCTAGAAATTGTTCTATTTTTCTCTTCTCAGCAAGAATATTAAATATATAATACTTTGTAACCATTATTTGGACAAATCTTATATTCTCTTTCTCTCTTTGGGTGTCTTAAAATCAGTACTATCAGAGAACAAAGCATATACTACCAACCTCTCTTAATTCCCGAATCTGTTCTGATAGTCCTCCAATCTCAGAATAAGAAACATTCCCAGGGTCCTCATGAGACATGTTGTAGACCAATGGATCCACTTCTCTTGGCAAATATCTATAATGATAAGGTACGTATTTTCTTTTACAAGATATATTTTCTCTCAGCCTACAGAGAGAGTATAAATTGACTTGCTTATGCAAGAACCTGTAAATGATCTTATAAAAATGTATATACATTAGTTAGAAATTAGTAAAAGGGAAAAAGTGGCATGATATTCATTGATCTCAAGAAGCATACATTTTAGCTAAAATCTTCCCTCTGTGAAAATAAAATAGAATAAGAAACCCACCTCATGATAGTTAGTGTAGTCATATCCAAAGCAACTCTTGTTCCTGGCTTCAGCTTACTTTTGTCAAGCTAATTTTATAAAACAAAAAGTGTTACATAACACATAAAAGGGAAAATAATACTCTAACAAGAGCACAGTATTTAGAAACCAAATAATCACTTTTACCCTTCAGAGAGAACACTAATATCAGATTAAAATACAATGCCAACAGAAGGGCTTATAAAATTAGTAATTCAAAGTTCTTTCCCTTAAACGAGTACCTGTTATGCAATCTAATTGTGAAATGTGAAATCACTAATATACAAAGTCTGTGGTGGAAAAGATCTTATTTTTAAAGAAAGAAATGGGTATTAATTTTACTTCCAAAGGCTTACTATTTTATACAGTTTTGCTCATTATTTTGATTCAGGCACTATGGCAATTGATACTAAATATTTATACAGAAATATCTAAGTGAATATTTTGGGGAAAGGAAAGGAAAGCACTTTACAGGTATGCCCTATATATTTTTTTCTTTTAAAGTCTATTTTTATTTATTTTTTATTAAATGAATTTGGCATATAACATTGTGTCAGTTTAAGGTGTAGAGTGTTACTCTGGTAATATGTCCTTTAGATTTATTTTAAAGCCGATAGCTTTGAGGAAGAACATATTACTTGACTACAGGAATTAAGGGAGAAATGCACTCATTCTTTATCCTCTTAGAGGTTTTTATTAAAATGCTAAAACCAAAACCAAAAAAATCCCAGCAATCGAATCATTCATGCTTTTGCTACATGTCGGATATTATGATAAATACATCATAGATTAGGTTGAATCATACTAACAACTTACTGGCATATTTGGGCAGGGTAACTTATTAGACTATAGATAGAATCTATCCAAGAGATTCACCTCATACTCAGGATATTACTTTTCCAAAATTAAGTTACTTTTTGATAGTTTAAAAAACTACTTGCCAATACAATTTCAGAATCATACAAATTACTGCTTTTCACAGGATTCTGCAAAGTACTGTAAGTTTACAATTTAATGCCAATTAAAATGAAGGGGAGATAGGCAAAAATTCTAGGTTTAATATAATGGATTAAACTTTAAATAAAATTGCTGGTAAGTGAGGTACTTGAAAAGAGCTCAACAAAAATCAGTACAAAGTTATTTCAACATTTACATCTATAAAGAATATATACTCTGGCTTTTCTTATTTTCCAGCTTCAAATACTCTCTTGCCCCCCATACAACCATGAAATATCTTGGAAATACCAACTCTTGGAATCCAGAGGGCCTTGTAAGGGAGATAAAACTCCTTTGTCAGGCTAGCCATTTAATATTTTGATTTAGGAAATGTTTTCCCACTTATATGCTAGGTGAAATGCTGGGATATGATTTAGTCCCTGGGTTAAATTCTACTCTACAGTCTTGCTGTATCAACGTTTTCAAACATGAACCTGATAGGACACTCAGAAAAAGCTCTTTCAATCAATTTTTTAAAAAAGTTCTAACGATGCTCCTAAAGAATAGGATAGTACATAAACTGGCTTCAGAGGCTACTAAATTATTTAAAGCCATTTGTTGCCATTTTTTATGACGGTAAAATGAAATCTGCAGTTATTTTAATTTGCCTATTCTAATCTAAATGAACTCATACAAAATCAACTTAGGCTACAGAAAAGTCTTTGAGTATCATTTTTAAATGTTTAAATATAAAACATCAGTAATTGATAAGGTGTAAGTCTCCTCAAAAAAGACCTTAAAATAAAATGATCTGAGATATTTACCAGTTCTAAAATTCTTAGATTTCTAAATATGTAGAGCAACTGAGGCAATGTGATATGAGTAGAAAATAGAGAATACCAGGTCATTGTCCATGGTTTGAGTTCAAGTTTTGCTAGTTATTCTGAACAAATCACCTTTAGGAGTTATGGGCATGTCTGACCTACTCACCTCAAAAATCAAATAACGTATATGAAAGCACTTTTATCAATTATAAAGCACTGTACAAATGTAAACTGTTACCTGTCGACGACAACCCACAACATATCTTGGTCCATTTGTAGCTTTAACAATGACTAGAGAAAGAAAATGAAAGGATAAACTGAAAAATAGAAAGTGAAAAATAAATATATAAAAAATATATATATACATCCACATTGATGGCAGGTTGAGTTTTATTTCTGTTCTCCAAGAAAACAATAGTTGAAAGAAAACTTAAATCTATGCAAGAATATCATCTACTTTCATTATTATCAGTAAAACAATGAACATTTCCAAAGTTCATGATGGAAAGAAGGAGTCCACTCTTTTTCTTTTTAAATTAACAATCCAATCCACTTACATTTTTCTTCAGTTAGTTGCTTAAGTACTTCACCCACAATCTGGAAAATTAAAAAAAAAAAAAAAAGCATTACTTTTGGCCAATAATCAAAAAACAAATTGTCATCATTCCCTACACCCCGAACTTGATTACCTACCTGCCCAACACTTTGTAGGGCCTTCAGATCATTTTCAGACTTTTCATACTGCTTGGTAAGTTCTTTTAATTGTTCCCTTACTGAAATAATACAATTTGAACATTTTTAATTAAACAATAATCTTAGTGAATTTAAGTCACTAAGTATCACTTTACTTAAGTTTATCTCAGTCTATTTTACTTTAGTATATTTTATAGCCACTTTATGAAACCATGAAAGAAATAATGCCGTTTGTAGAGGACAGGTTTAAAAATGAAATGTTACAGAAAAAGCACCATTTTTTATTCTCCTGATTGGCCATACTTGTTCAAGCACATTCATAACATTGTTACATTCTTAACAGATATTGACAACCACACTTCTGGGTTTGAGACTACAAATAACGAATGATAAGAGACTTTCCCTCATCTCTTCGGCTACCCGCACGGATTACTTACTACTCTATACTTTTCGGCCCTAAATAGGTCAACAGGTGCAGTGATCTACAGAATTATATGGTTATAGTCTTTCTCCATTTAATCAAACCACTCGGGCTTTTCAGTGAAGGCGCACTACGAAAAAATGTAAGCGCCCTTTTAGTTCAGGAGGTTAAGAGAAACCTGTGTGCCTGACAGAGTCAAATCCAAATAACAGGAAAGACAAGGGAGGTTATTATCACCCATCGATGGACCCCTCTCTTAAGCTCCGCTCTGGCTTTCCACCCCAATAACAAGCCAGCACCTCGAGTCTCCTCTCTTGCTTGAGCTTCCTTGACTCCAGTCTCCTCTCCTCTCCTCTCTGGGTCCCGGACTCACCTACAGCGCAGCGCCCTCCTTGCACTCAACCTGGCAGACATCCGTGGCCCACTTCTTTCCACTCCTCTAGTGAACTGGGGATGTTCTCCCTGTCACCTGGACCAGACTGGGCCGTTTCTACGCCCGAAGAGGCTGTGCTTTCCAAGCTCAGGGCCGGATGACAAAGCGCCTTGTCCCTGGACCGAGGCCTTCCTATCCCTGGAGCTCGGATGCCGGGCTCGGCTAAGGGCCTCTGCTTTGTCAGAGACAGACCAGGTCCAGGCATAGGATTATGTGGAAGGAAAGGCGCACTCACACTCCTTGAGACGACCGTCGATCTCCTTGTGCTCCAGCAGCTTCTTGCGGTAGTCCTGAAGCGCCTTATCTCTTGGGTCCGCCATGATGAGAAGCCGTCGCTCATAGGGGATGCCGGGAATGGCCATGGCCGCCCGGGCGGGGGAAGGGGCGGGGCGAGGGAGGAAAGCCTCCCGGGGGGCGCGGATTCGTGGACAACCCCGCCCCTTCCGGCTGGCTCCGCCTCTCTACTCCACTCCTCCCACTTCTGCGTCTCGGTTCACCGACGGCGCAGCCGCGCACAGAAGGAGGCCTCCACCCACACCGCCCCCTGCAGGTCGAAGTAGGTAGAGCAAGGAGCTGCTGTCCTGGTTGTCCCCTGAGACATCTAGACAGTGCTAAACCACTGTTGCCGTGGAACCACAGAACACTTTCTGAGAAACTGAGAAGACAGTGAAGTAGGCAATGTGCAGTCCTGCTAAATAGTTCCAGTGGACTATCGGGGATAACGTAGATAGCCTATTAGTCTAACACAATATTAACAGGGACCTTCAGGAACAGAAGGGGTAGGCTATTTTTTTTACTTATTCATTCAGTGAATGAGGTACTAAGGATGCGACCCGGTGGGGAGATTAAAAAATAGTTTGAGTGTAACTAGTACTACAATGTTATAGTTATAGAGTAAGGCAAGGAGAACTAATTTAGAAGAACATCTGACATAAGGACCAAGCCATGCAACACAGTGGAGAAGAACCTACCTGACAGAGGAAACAGCAGTGCAAAGATCTTGAGGTGAAAGAGAGGTTGGCTCATTTCTAGGAATAGAAAGGAGGCCAATGAGACCGGAAGAGGGTGGGTTATAGAAATATGGGGCAGAAGATAAAGACGATGAGGTAGGTTGAGTCAGGAACTTGAAGTCTAACAGAACTTTCAGATTTCTGTCCTTTGGACAAAATATTTAATCTCACAAAATCTCTGTAAAATGAGCATAATAATTGTACTTATCTCATAGAGATATCATGAGTATTAAATAAGCTATGTGCCTATAGCTATTAGCACAATGTCTGACACAAAGTAAGCACTCAATAGTGTTTTAAATAGCGATTTTATTTATTTTAAGGGTAGTAATAACCTCGATTTTTGCAGAACAGGCCCCCATTGCTGTACCTCTTACCAGAATTGTTCCTGGAGATAACTTATTGTTGTTCCAATAGACTCAGTCACTAAGTCTCCAGATAGATTCCATTTGATCTTATCTTACACAGTGGCCCTAGATATTTGAGTTTATTTTTTTTTAAGATTTTATTTTATTTAATCATGAGAGATACAGAGCAGGAGAGAGAGAGGCAGAGACACAGGCAGAGGGAGAAGCAGGCTCCATGCAGGAAGCCTGATGTGGGACTCGATCCCAGATCTCCAGGATCACGCCCTGGGCTGCAGGCGGCGCTAAACCGCTGCGCCACCCGGGCTGCCCGATATTTGAGTTTAAATAGGGTATGTTCTACATATACATATAAAGTGCAAATTTATGTGAATTAAATTACCAAAAGTTGCATAAAGGTTTTTAAATTTCTTAGGAAAACATGGGTATTGCATGACTATTACATTCTGTTTTTCTTAATATAATTGAAAATTGCAGTAGCTGATAAACAAGGAAGATGGGTTGAGCAGGGACAGTCCCTTCTGCTCAGCTGCAACTATTCTGGTCAAACTAGTCCGTCAATACCAAAATATATCACCTTTGACATTAAGAAGTAGAGAAGAGAGGATGAGACAGAGAAAAAAGGCAGCTCAATTTGGTTCAATTCAATAAATATTTATGAGCACCTACTGTTGTGTTATTTCAACATAACACACCAATATTTTGAACTCTGTTGACCCTTGTTCTTTTTCTTTCACCCATCTGGCAAAAATCCAAATTCAGATGAACCTCCTATCTATTTTGCACATGGCTTCTCCAGAACAGCTCTGTTTCTTTTTTTTTTTTTTCCACTCTTAAGATGTATTTATTTATTTGAGAGAGAGAGAGCATGCGGGCAAGTGGGGGAAGGTGCAGAGGGAAAGAACTTCCAAGCACACTCGCACTGAGTGCACAGCCCGAGACTGGGCTTGATCCTATGACCCATGAGATCCTGACCTGAGCCCAAAACCAAGAGTTGGATTCTTAACCTACTCAACCACCCAGGCACTCCCTATTTCCTTTTAATATGCACCCATGAGACTGTATTCAGAAACTGAGGCTTACTGCCAGCAGCGGCTTGAGTGAGCTGTCTTGGAAGCAGAGCCTTCAGCCCTAAGGAAGCCTTCAGATGACTGAATCCCTAGTCTTGATTGCGACACAGTGAGAGATTGAGTCATACACCCAGCTCAACTGCTCCTGAATTGCTGGTCCGAGGAAAATTGTGAAGTGATCGGTATTCACTGTATTAAGCTATTAAGTTTTGTGGCAATCTGTTACACAGTGATAGATAACTAATAGGAACCAATTTTTTTCCAGAGAGAAATTGGGAAACGGTACTAGATAAGCAAGTAGCAACTATTTTTGCTTGCACATCAGCCGGAACATTCGAGATTTTGGAAGTTTGTCATCCCAAATATCTACCCCAAATGCCTACCAGAGTGCATGTAATTGAATGTATCCATGGCTAAGTGGTAAGATGTTGAGGTAGGAGTAGAAGTTAGAATTCCTATGCTTCTGGGAAATAGTCTTCTTTAATAAAGTAATACATAAAGATTTTTTTTCTTTAAAGTCCTACAGCACTTAGATTGAAAAAGAGGAGTCCACTGCCCCATCCTATTCTACCCCTTGGTGGCATTCCCCAACTCTTTAACATGTTTTTCTGTATTTTCTTTCTAAATAATATGCTTATGCTGCTATTTCCTGACAGATTAATTTTAGGTTTTGTCTTTGGACTTGCTAATAAGGAAGATAAAGATTTAGCACCTTTATATCACTCCAGATCCCCCCTTTCCCTACCTCTGTCCTCCATACGTATAATTTATACAAGTTTGGTTAATTCAACATCCAATATTTGTCTTATTGTGGAGCTATGTAAATCAAGCAATATACAATGATTATGTTTTATTATAAAACTGTCTGAACTTCCTAGAATTAAAAGCTGCCTCATTTTTTTAAAAGCTGTTTTGTTTTGATGGCTTCTCCCCAACTTTACAATATAGTTATTAACTTGCTCCGAATAGTGTTTTCCATAAAGTCAGTCATATCAGATATCCCTCCAGTTCACCTAGTGACACTTCTCGTGAAGCTTCCCTGCTGTCTCTAATCTGGGCTCTGGGCTGTTGTTGCATGGCTATCTTCTTAGAACTTCTCTAACTCCTCTCTTGGGTGCTATCTTTTCTTTCAAGATACCCTTATCTCCTTATTCCCGGTTACTTCTTTGGTTAGATCATATCCTCCCATAAAGTTTCTGAGAAAGGATTTAAAGATGTACATTATTCTTCATATATAACAATATCTTCATTCTATTCTCGGACTTAATTAGTAGATTGGCTGGCTAAAGAATTCTCAGAATTTTGAGGGTCTTGCTCCATTGTCCTGGAGCTTCCAGTGCTCTTCTGATTCTTAATTCTTTGTAGGGGACCAGGAGTTTTGTTTCTCTTTCTGCACATTTTATCTCTGTTAGGGGCATTCTCCATCCAGTGGACTGGGAACTCTGTGTGCCCTATCAATCTGGATAGCCATCCTTCAATTTTAGCTATTTTCTTGAATGACCTCTAATAATCATCTGTTTCCAATGTTCTCTTTTACTGGTACTCTTATAAGTCAGATTCCATTCTCCTTGAATTAGCCCTCTATTTTTTCCATCTCTTCTCATTTATTCTACCTCTTTTTTTTTAATTTATTGCCATCTAAGAGATTTCCTCAATGTTTCCTCTAATGTTTCAGTCAAAATTTTTTATTTTGGCAATCATATATTTAGTTTCAAAGATCTCTTTCTTGTTCTTTTGATAGACTCCTTATGTATTTGATGATATTGATTATAGCTTTTTGTTTTTCTTCCTTTCTTCCCTCTTTGTTTCCTCAAAGTTCCTATTTTCTTATTTGTTTTGACCTACTTCGTGTTGGAAGGTTTCCTTAACAATCTTGTGAGCCTTGGTATTCTGATCATAGACTGAGACATTAAATAAAAAGGCAGTAGAATTCTGAGTGTGTGAGTGGGGGGACGCCACTAACGGTTCTGTTGTTTTGGTTTGTGTGTGTGTGTGTGTGTGTTTTAAAGATTTTATTTATTTATTTGACACAGAGCACAAGCAGTACAAGCAGCAGAGGGAGAGGGAGAAGCAGACTCCCTGCTGAGCAGGGACTCTGATGCTGGGCTTGATCACAGGACTCTGGAATCATGACCTGGGCCAAAGGCAGACACTCAACCAACTGAGCCACTCATATGTCCCTGTTCTGTTGTTTTTGATGCTGTTGTTTATTCTTGGAAGAATTCTCACTCTCCTTTTAGAATGGGAAAGAAGGGGATCAGGCATGAGGCAGTGAATGGAAACCAGGTCTGTATTAGGTCTGCATTTTTTGGGCTGAGTGCTATAGGTGGTCTGCTGGAGGTAAGGGAGATGTTTTAACATTCAGCAGGGAGGGGCTTCACTTAATCCACCCTTTTTGGGGGCAGCCCAGGTGGTTCAGTGGTTTAGCACCGCCTTCAGCCCAGGACCTGATCCTGGAGACCCGGATTGAGTCTCACGTCAGGCTCCCTGCATAGAACCTGCTTCTCCCTCTGCCTCTCTGTTTCTGTGTCTCTCACGGATAAATAAAAATAAAATCTTAAAAAAAAAAAATCCACCCTTTTTCATTTTGGAAGTCTCTCCCCTCTCTCTGTAAATGTAGAGTCTAGAGTCCCTGAGTTTGTAGCCACTCTTGTTTCTTGACTGAACAATCTTGATCTTGAAATGTGTTCTAAATAAATTTTATTTTAGTTTATATTATTTAAGATTTTATTTATTTACTTGAGAGAGTGAGAGACAAAGAGATCACGAGCAAGAGGGAAGGGCAGAGGGAGAAGCAAACTCCCCGCTGAGCAGGGAGCCTGTCACAGGCTCCATCTTAGCACCCTGGAATCATGACCTGAGCTGAAGGTAGAGGCTTAACTGACTGAGCCACCCAGGTGCCCCCTAAATTAATTTTAGATAAGTT